GGCCGCGGCCGGCTCTCCGGCCTCAGCTGACCTTGGGCCGGCGCCCCGCCCGCCCGCCGCGGATGCAGGCGAGAAAGCCTCCCCTGCGCAGACACGCCGAAAACCCTTCCTTCCGCCTCGCCGGGGCGCCGGGCCGGGCGCTCCCCTCGCCGAGGTCGCCACCCTGTAGAGCAGGTTGGAGCGAGGCGTCCAGCGCATCCCGCCCCCGACGCCGGGCCGGGCCGGGGGAGGGTCAGGGCCGCCCCCGCCGGGGGCCTCCGGCGGTTGGGGGTGCTTCCTGGGCCGCGGGAGCTCCGCCCTGCCCCTCGCCCACTGGCCCGGAGGGAGCGTGGGTCCGCCTGGGGATGCACTGTTCCGGGGACACGTAGTCTCGGTGGTGGGCACCGGCCCCTGGGATACGCCGTGGGTCCCAGCCAGCCAGCTGAGTGTCCACCGCCCGAAAATAACGAGAAGACCTTTCTCTCGCCCTTTGCAGGGCTGCGGAATGGTTCGTCCTGGGGTTTTAAAGCTCTGGAGGCATGTAATTAAGCCCCACAGCATCCACACGGGGCTTAGAGTACCCAGATTTGTAAACTGAGAAAAATGAGAATCCTGTTTAGGCAGCGGCACTGGAACAGTTGAGAGCAGAATGGACTTCCTGTTACCTTACCGGAAATGCTAGTATGCATTATATAATTCGTGTGACTGTGTAAGGCTTCAGTGCTGTGGATCCCAGCCCCCTACCCAGCTGGGAACATGTGCAACCTCACTAGGACAGCGTGTGCCGCTGAAGCACGGAAGGGCTGCCTAGGAGCTTGTCAAGGATTTTTCCTGATGTTACACAGGGAAGGCAGGAACCATCATGAGCACGGATTCTTCTCTTAATTTCCAGCAGTAATGCTGGGCAGTCTGCAAAGCTTAACAGTCATTTCTTTAATTTATTGGGGTCTTCTTGGTCTGGTTACTGGCCATCGAAGACATTTGACCGTGATGAAATTATGAAATGTTTCAACATTTTGTTTTCGTCTGGCATTGTTTCATTGTTGGTGTCTGACTTCTCATTCAGTATAACCTCTTTCCAAGGGTAACTACCAGTTCATTTGTAATATTACGTTAGTGGTTGAACAATAGTGAAGTGGAAGATGCCAAGCAGTAATTCAGTGAATAGAAGATTCATTAGAAGGTTATGAGTTTGGAAAATGTTTGGTAATGGAATAATTGCTTCTCAGAAAAGTGGATATTAAGTCAGTAGATCTCAAGTCTTCAAACTGACTATTGTATATAACTTTTTTTTATCCTTTCTTGAAGGCATACAGAAAGTTAGCCAAGGAATACCATCCTGATAAGAATCCAAATGCTGGAGACAAAGTAAGTTAAGAGAGTTGGGATTTTTTTCTGGGTTTTTAGTTTTGAATTTAAATTCTTCTTCATGGGAAAAAAAAAAAAAAATGTTGTAGGAAAAGTCCATCCGTATCCATAGAGCCAGATTTGTATGTCAGCAGTATCCTGGTTTTGTAATGGGAATACTGACATTCTGAGCAGGAGCAGGTGGTCAGTAGGACCAGAATTAAACCAGAGGTAGCTTGTAGCTTGTATTAGAATTAAGCGTTGCTTTGGGGACTTGACTGCTGGATTCCTGTAGCCTTTCCCCCATCTTGTATTTGAAAATCCATTTGTTTTCATTTTTACTTTCACTTTAGTTCAAAGAAATAAGTTTTGCATATGAAGTTCTCTCCAATCCTGAGAAGCGCGAGTTATATGACAGATATGGAGAGCAAGGTCTTCGGGAAGGTAGCGGCGGAGGTAGTGGCATGGATGACATCTTCTCTCACATTTTTGGCGGGGGATTGTTCGGCTTCATGGGCAACCAGAGCAGAAGTCGAAATGGCAGGAGAAGAGGAGAAGACATGATGCATCCCCTCAAGTGAGTATCTTCTCTTTCTTTAGTATTAAGTCCTTTTTTTCCCCTCAGTCTTCCAGTGCGTCATATTGTCTCATTTGGTGATTAAATTGAATGTGATAAATTGGATATTTGTATTTGGCACAGGTTTTAAAGGACAGTTGGTCTTTTTTATAGAGTAGAAAGATGGTTTTGTTATATATTTCTGAGGGTGCTTGTTATTTTATTATATATGACTTAAAATTCTAAGCGTGTTGTTTTCTTTGAAGTATGTGAATCTTCAGATGACTTTTTAGTTAAAAACTTGGAACGTGCGTGGCTGTCTGGCTAGTTTGTTGACTTGTTGCAGTCCCTCATTACTGTATCCTCAGTGAGAACTCCTAAATTGGTTTCCGTGGAGCTTGCTGGCTTCCAGCCTGACATTAACCTGCCAGCATATGAATGATGTCTGACCTTGATGTTAGACTGTGAACCCACAAGCTCTGTACAAAATGAAAATAGTTATTTCACTGCAAAATTTGTGAGGCCTTTTATCCTGTTGATATTTTTCATGAACTAATAATGGTTTTACTAGCAAATGCTAGATGTCAAAGTTGAAGCATTTGTATAAAAGATTTTGTGTTATCTAATTTGTACATTTGAGTAAATTAGAGGAAGTCACGCGTACCCTGTTACCTTTAGGTTCATCCTTAAAGTTATTTGCATTTTAAAGGAATTTTACTCTTAGAAATCTTTTGGCTAACGTTCCGAGAGTAATACGCAGCGCAGGTTCTTTCTTGTTTTTGTTTGATAAAAGAATGGTCTAAAAAGCAAATAGGATGGAGAGAGTGCTTGCTGTACCTTATGGTTCTTCATCTTCTTTTCAAAAATGTTTCTTACTATATTGTAAATGTTTTATTTTCTGCTGTTTTCACATTATGTGAATTTTTCCTGTTATTGCAAACACGTATGTGATTTTGAGTGGTTTTGTCATCTATTCCATGATTTATTTAATCGTTCACTTTTCATATAGGGTGTTGTCAGTTTTTGCTGTAATAACTAGTGCTGCTCTGAGTATCTTTATCTGCAGCTTTGTCCTTGGCATGGATTCCCAGGCTGGCATCGGTGTTTTGAGACGGATAAATATTACTAAATTGCCTTGTAGCGGGATTACGCCAGGTTGGGCCCCACTGGCAGTGGAGTGTCCGCTTTGCCAGATCCTCACCTGCATTGTTCCTTTCTTGGGTCATGTTGGCTGAAATAAGGATTTTTCTGGCCACTTGGATGGCGGTTTTACATACTAATTACAATCTATAGAAAAAAGTTGACTTACCTGTTTGTTTCCTTTAAATGATCTGGTTGAAGGTTCTTATGAGGAGTATAAAAGGTACTTGCAACTAAGTGCTTTTGTCTAAGGCTAAGCTGTAGATGTACCATTATTTGGAAGTGTTGCTAGTAATGTTTTGTCCATAAGTGTGTTACACTGCCGAGAATGTATAACAATTTTGAGAAAGTTTGAATACCTGAAATTAGTATTGGTGCTTTGTAAAATAATTTAAATATTTTTTCTATTCTAATTCTTGGGATTTTAACATAGTAATCAAACCAGTCATTCTACTAAAGGAGATTTTAAAACACGATGAGAAGGGAAAACCCCAATTATTAAATGTGTTGCTGCCAGATCCTAAATGAGTAGTGTTTTGAGACTTTTAAGGGACACAGAGATTTTTGAAGTTTGGAAAGGAATGGTCTTATAGTTTAGATATGCTGTGTGTGGATAAAGGTGAGTTTCGGATTTTATTAGTTGTATGTTTTTAATAGGCTTTTTACTTTTTTTGGGTCATAGAGTTTTTTGCAAATTAGGTAAGTCATTCATACAGTTTTCCTAAAGATTCAGTGGATTCTTCAGAACCTGTAAAATTTATTGTAGGCTCTCTGTTGAAAATTATTATTTCCCTCCTTTCTGGCACACTGTAGATAAGGGTATTTTTTGAAACATATGCAATCTAAATACCTTCTTTTAGCTGTAATACAACTTTGTAGCCATTCTAATTTGTCCTTGGAGGGAGCAGAGCCTTGTTGTAAGAACATGGACTCTGGAGCCATACTGCCTATGTGATCTTGGGCAAGTTACTAAACCTCTCTGAGTTATACATAAGATGGGAATAATTGAACCTCTCTCAGAGGCTCGTGATTAGACCTTACTTAGGTCAGAGGCTCCTGCCTGAGGCTGGAAGAAGGTTGTCATGTTTGAGTTTGTGCTGTCATCAGCTCGTCAGAAAATGCAGCCCAGCAAATTGTTGGCCTGATGCTGGGGGCTCTGGCTTTGAGCACGATGTATACCATCCCCAGTCAGAAAATCTTTCCCAAACTGAGCCACTGTTTTCAAATAAAACCTGTCCGTTGAGTTGATTTAATGTGAGGTGTTTTTGAATTCTTTGTTTTAAAAGGTTATAGTAAGATCGGTTGTACCACTGTCGTTCTAACTTGTATTTGCGAGAACTGGGCAACATTTGATTGAACCTGGTTGTTTTTCCCCCAGAGTATCTTTAGAAGATTTGTACAATGGCAAGACAACCAAACTACAACTTAGCAAGAATGTCCTCTGTAGTGCATGCAACGGGTAAGTGTGTGTTTCGGTTTTTGAAAAAATTTCGTCTGTTCTTTCCGTGGCACAATGAAAGTTTATGCCAGGTGGAAGTTCTTTGTGATTTAGAACTGACTACTCAATGTAGAACATCTTTATACCTCTGAAAGTTCATTTGAATATGAATCATTAAGAGTGGCAGATGATGGTGAAGAGCACCATTCCTGTTTGTCACGGCTTACTGTAATAGCCTAGGGACGGAAACCTCACGTCTGTACCTTTGCTCGCTGTAGTCAAGGCGGCAAGTCTGGGGCCGTTCAGAAGTGCGGCGCTTGTCGGGGTCGAGGTGTGCGCATCATGATCAGACAGCTGGCTCCGGGAATGGTGCAGCAGATGCAGTCTGTGTGCTCCGACTGCAATGGAGAAGGTATGCCCGTCCTCCTCTGCTCTGACGTTGGGATGGGCTGGAAATGCAGAAAGTGGAGAGGTTGACAGTGTCCCTTTTTTAAAGTGTGTTTGTCCTTGTCTTATTAAAGAGAAGATACAAGGAGTTCTGAAAGTGAAAACTGTGTGGAAATCATTATTCCAGTAAGCACAGGCTGCGTGAACACAGAGAAATAGTAAATTTACACCTTGAGTGCTTAATCTTTTTTAATTCCAGAAAGATGGGCAAGGTGCCCCCTGTGTATTTTAAAAGGTTATATTTGAGTAAAGAGGAAGATAGCAAAAATTGTTCAGTTAACATTTTGATGATTGGGGATTTTACTGTAAGCTTTAGTAGCTTTTGAGGGTGAGTATTGGGATTGAATCTCTCCATTTTAATTTTATTATAGTGCTAATTAAGCGTTTCAGAAGAATACTAGAAGAGAAGCTGCCCTGTTGTAAACGTGAGGTGGCCAGCTGAAATACAGCCATCTCTGATTAACTCTGGAAATTCTAACTGATAGGGTACTTAAATAAAAGGAAGAGCCACAGTATCGTCCATAAACACCTGATCAGAGTTTAGTTTATGATACAGATAAACTCCGTGTCGACTATGTGATTTAACCATAATAGCCGTAAAGGATGTTTAAATTATTTTTGGATAATTTCTGTCCATTGTTCAACTTAACATGAAGCTAGGACTGGGGATTGAAAAAAAAACTAGAGAAACATTTGTAGAAGCTCCAGCATCTGACCACCTATTTTGTTCCTTAATCCTTAGGCTTTGTTTTAATTTAGGAAATAGAATCAAGCGTAAGAAAGTGTTGTTTAGAGACTGGAGAAACCCCGGAGAGTATGGCCCCTGCACACCCTTTTAGCTCAGTGATGAAGTCACTCCCGAGGTTCACCGTTCAGCCAAAGATTAGACAGGCCCATAAAACAGAGCGAGACTAATGGGGCACAACAGTCCAGGGACAAGGACTAGAAGGCAAGAGGGGACAGGAAGGCTGGTAATAGGGAACCCAAGGTTGAGAGGGGACAGTGTTGACATGTCATGGGGTTGTTAACCATTGTCATAAAACAGTATGTGTACTAACTGTTTAATGAGAAACTTTGTTCTGTAAACCTTCATTTAAAGTACAATAAAAAAAAAAAAAGTTGTTTAAGATATAATAGCTATATAGTACACTGGGTAGCTGGGACCTTCAGAAACCTGCAGTTTATAAGTAAGTTTTTGTTACTCATTTTATTAATGGTACTTTGAGCAAAAAATTTAGGTAAATAAAGAAGGTTAGGAAGTTTATTTAATGAATAAGAGCATTATCAAGAATGATCTTATTTAAGAGCACAGTATGGTGCTCTTGCTGGAAGTTTGAATGACCTCTCTTCCCAGGAGAGGTAATTAATGAAAAGGACCGCTGTAAAAAATGCGAAGGGAAGAAGGTGATTAAAGAAGTTAAGATCCTTGAAGTCCACGTGGACAAAGGCATGAAACATGGACAGAGAATCACATTCACTGGGGAAGCAGACCAGGCCCCCGGAGTGGAACCAGGAGATATTGTTCTTCTGCTACAGGAGAAGGAACATGAGGTAATTTCTTTCTTTCTTTTTTTTTTTTTTTCAATTCAGAAATGCGTCTTTGTTAGATTTTTTGGGGTTTCCTGGAGCAGCTTGGAACGTATGATGAAGTTGTTGAGGGATCATGGCTGGGTTCGTAGCTGACTTGTTCAGTGGACCAAGAAGGCAGGTGTGGTCAGAGGCGCTGTAGAGGGGGTGGATGTTAGTCCTGGCTCGGTCATTTATAAGCAGCCCTGTTGTCTTTGGTCTTTTACTTTAAAATGAGGGCTGTATTTGTTTCCTGGGTTTGCAGAAACAGAACACCACAGCAGGGTGGCTTATCAAAACAGATTTATTGTCTCACAGTTCTGAGGCTAGAAGTCCAATCAGCGTGTCACCTGGGTCACGCCCCCCCGAAGCCTCCAGGGGAAGTTCTTCTTGTCTTTCCTCCCTTCTGGAAGCCCAGGCATTCCTCGGCTTCTAGATGCCTCTTCATATGGCTGTCCTTCCTTCGTTTCTCTGGGTTTTTTCTGTTTTGTAAGGACACCACTCAGATTGGTTAGGAACCCGCCCTGCTCCAGTGCGACCTCATGTGAACTGATAACATCTGCAGAGACCCTGTTTGCAAACAAGGTCGTGCGCGTGAGTACAGGCGTTCAGCATGGTGGACACAGTTTAATTCATAACCAGGGCATTAAATCAGATGGTCTAAGGTGGCTCATTTTACACTGTGGGGCCCCTTTGATGAGTGGTAAGCGTGCGGGGTTTCAGTCCCCAGGTCCCTCCTGGGCTGCTCTGTTCATCCGTTTACACATTGGGTGTCCAGGTGAGCTTGCCTTGAAAGAAAAGATTCCGCGGTTAAAAAAAAATTTTTTTTTTTTTTTTTTTTTTTAATTTTTATGTATTGTATCTGCTACATATAAGGCAAAATGAACTTTCTAACAGTGTGGTCTGGTGTGTTATTTTGGTTGTACCATTGTGCTGGTATTAGTGTGCTGTGGAGTATTTATAGCCCCTTATTTATGAGGAATGTATCTGGAGCTGTTTGTGAAACACCCATTCAGTAATCACCCACGTTTTTTAATATGGAAACATTGGACAGGACTTTGGCTTTGCACTTAGTTGCATTTACTCAGAAGTTGCCCCAAAGATCTTTTCAGTTTACACTAAAATTTTCTTCCATTTGCTGGCCATTTCCACAAGTAAATTTTTAAAATCACTTCCAGAATCCAGTAAAGAATGACAAAGCCATATTGAGATGTGGATTCTGGTATTTGATTGGGTCCCCTCACTAGGTTCTGAGTACATATCCTGGCCTAGCCTTTCAAGGTATACTAGTCAGATTTCACACCTCATCAAAGCTGTGCGTTCCTGTACACCTTGGCTCTTCGTGGATATTGGCAAATCTACAAATGGCAAGAGTCTCTTAAACTGCTTAAAAAAAAAAAAAAAAAGTAGTTTCTAGAATTCTGCATTAAAATCTTGTAGGTTGAAATGTTTGTAACTTTTTTTTTTTTAAACAAGATTCCCTGTTTCTTGGCATTTTAGTTCCTTCATTTGTTCAGTCTTGCCTGCTGAGGACCTTCTAAGGCAAAAAGAAAGAGCCGAGTGATGGAAAAATTCGTAGTCTGCTTTGGGGTAGAGGCTAAACTGTAACACGGTACAAACCGCACGCGGGTATTTTCAGTCACAGAATCGTCTGAGCAGTTTGGGGGTGGGCTGGACAGTCGTCAGATGATGTTCTAGTAGTGAGGAAATTAAGAAGTTCATGCTTATTTGGAGGAGAACAGAGATGGTATTTTGGGTTTGGGGCACATCGGACGGATGGTAAACTCTATTGTACCCTTCAGTGTAGCTCTTAGGGTTGCTGTGTAATTGGAATTTTTCAAGCAGAGCGCTGGATTTGGGACGTTGGTTCTGACTCCGTTTGCTAACTGCAGCCTCCCTGGGGTTTGACTTGCTTATCAAAAACAGATAACTTCTCTCTCAGAAGGATACTGTAGAGTCAGATGCGATAGTGAATAAGCAGCGGGGAGGGGTTTGGAAGCAAGTCACCTCTTAAATTGTTGGCAGCTGGAACTTCATGGAATTTCCAACAGAAAGCAGATGTAACTGGCTATATAAAGTAGAAAGTAAAAGATGGTAAAGATTAGAATGGAATGGCAGCTCCGTTAGATGAGAAGGCAGGTTCAGCTGGCAAGAGGTCACAAGTGGTTCCTTCTGGTTTTCTGTTGCGAGCAGTGCCGTAAATCTGAGCCAGAGATGAGATTCAGGCGTCTTGTTTTGTCTGTACCACTGAAAAAGTACTCCGTCTTCTGAAGAAAATGAAAATAGTTTAAATTAGAACATGGAGCTGCTATTTGTTCATGAAAAAATCTGCAGTTGGGTTTTTTGGGTTTTTTTCCCCTACCCCCAATATTTGTGCTGAAGGAATCGTGAGGCCACAGTGAGATTGGGGTGGACACTGTAGCTGACACAGACTCAGACATACATGATAAACCTGTGAAGGCGGAACCTGTGTGAGGCGGAAGCCTGTCAGAGAAGGAAAACTCAAGTATTTTCTGCTAAAACAAGTGATAGAGAAGTGTCAAGCCCTGCAGCGTATCAAAGTCAGAAAAACTTGTGGGACCCGGAGAAACAAGGCAGTCCCATCAACTTCCGGCTGTCTGTATCAACTTCGGAGCACCAGGATTTCACTGTATAGACGTTAAGGTCTCTGAGGGACATTCAGTTTTGAGAGCACGTTGTGGGTGTCCATCTTTTCACCATACGATGTTTCGGTCTGCCAGCTTGCGTGTGTGTTTCCGGGACGTTCGTGCAGCACAGAACGCAGTAGCTGATGATGCCAGTGTCTCCTTTATACTCCGTATTCTTGGTCTTCAGAAATCATCAGCACTTTTCAAATGTTTATAAATGTTTTAGGCGTTTTACTGTCTGACGCTGGTAGTCTCTCAGTAATCTTGGTTTTCAGAAATTTCCTGACTGTTCTTTGTTGCTCTTGACTGTTCTCTGTTTGAAATGTAGTATGAAATTGTCTAGCGCCCCTTTCCTGCCCAGCCAAAAAACCCCGAAACTCTGATACTGTTTTTTCTTGGAACGACTTTAAGTTGAGCCTTTCTGCCCAGGAACATGGTTTGCCTTCCTGCTCCCTGCTTGTAATAAAGCTTTAACCAGAGGATGTTTGGGTAAAGATGTTTCCTGGAGCTGTAACATCATGAGATGTTATTTCAGAAACACTGAATATTGATAGGGCGTTTTGCAGTATTACATAAGCACCAAGAAGTCCCGCATGCAAGAAGCCTCCCTGAACTTAATGCTTCCACCCATTGTGAGAACCCCATGAGATGGGCATAGATACATACATTCTGTGATCCTCAAACTTTTTCAGCACCCGTTAGACTCCTCTGGAGACGATTTTAAAACAGCAGGTTGCTGGGCCCCATGGGTCTGCAGAGTTTCTGATGCTGTAGGTGTGGGGTGGGGCCCAAAGGGGTACATTCCTAACAGGTTTCCTCGTGCTACTGAGGCTGCTGGCCCAAGACCACATGCTGGGAACAGCTGGTCAGGAGCCTGGCTTCAGGTTCACTTTTCCTGAATGTAGTAGGAGCGTAGGACGTCAGCTTGGGAAAAGAATATACCTTCAGGTTTGCTCTTTTCTCTACATGAACTGGCCAGCATTGTTTTTTAGAAAAGAGACTGTTGTATTCATAAAATCCAGGTGACCTTTCACTGCAGCTACTTTTTCTTCATTTAAAATTTCAGAATTTAAGCATAGGTATTTGTAAACTCTGAGAAGCGAAAATTAGAAGTTAGGTGTGTGTGAAATTTGTATTGAAAGCGCAGACATTCTTTGTGCTTGTTCAGTAATTGTGTGTCCTAGTCTACAGGTTTCTAGCGCTCTGTTGAATAAGCCAGCTTTGTGTTTCCTGGGTATAGTTTATGTCCAGCTCAGCACGTTTTGAATTTGGATGTGTTTCTTCTCATGTGAACCTCGACTTCTGACTTTCCTGAGTGCATTACTTGTCAAGCTTTTTACGCTAAACCTGGGCCCTCCCCTTTGCCTGTTGAGATCACGGCAGGGGAACATTCCACTGGCAGCAGCCGGCTCCCCAGAAGTGTGCGGGGCCTTCCGTACCTTCTCGCCCAGAGGCAGGGTCAGTTAGTGACCATAATCACAGGATGATATCTGGTGCTGCTTCTGGAGCCTGAGCTCTGCCACTCTTTTCCCAGTTCCAGTGCCTTCCTAATAGAAGTTTTAGGATATTAGGGAGTGGCCTACTTTCCTAATAAAAATTCAGGGGATTTTAGGGATGGTGGCAGTTGGGCTTTTTCAGTGACTGATAGAATTAAGGATTTGAAATTGGTTCAGGATACACAGCACAGCAGGCTATGGCTCCATAATTTTTTTAAAAACGTGTTCCTTCTGTTCTTCGTCTGTAGGTGTTCCAGAGAGATGGGAACGATCTGCACATGCCATACAAGATCGGGCTCGCTGAGGCTCTGTGTGGGTTCCAGTTCACATTTAAGCACCTCGATGCCCGTCAGATTGTGGTGAAGTACCCCCCTGGCAAAGTAATCGAACCAGGTGAATCTCGATGTTAAGAACTTAATTTCGTCTAATACAGGTTCCCGGGTGTTCTTTTACAATTGGCCATTTTTTATAGTACGTTACGGTCAGAAGAGTATTCGTGAACACCTTGGTTCTCGGGTGCAATTACTATTGTTTTATTATGCTGTAAGTGAAAGTTTACAGTTCAAGTTAGTTTCCCATATAAAAATGTACACACCCATTGCTATGTGACCCTAGTTGCTCTCCCTGTAATGTGACAGCACGCTCCTCCTTTCCACCCTGGATTTCCCATGTCCATTCAACCAGCTCCTGTCCCTTTTTGCCTTCTCATCTCACTTCTGGACAGGAGCTGCTCATTTAGTTTCATGTATCTATTTGAGTTAAGAAGCACTCTTTTCACGAGTATCATTTTATGTCCCATAGTCCAGTCTAATTTTTGTCTGAAGAGTTGGCCCCGGGAATGGTTTTAGTTTTATGGTAACAGAGAGTCCAAGGGCCATGTCTTCCGGGATCCCTCCAGCCCCATTAAGTCTAGTCTTTTTACTAGAATTGGAGTTCTGCACCCCACTTTTTTCCTGCTCCATTAGGGGCTCTCTGTTGTGTTCCCTGTCAGGGCGGTCACTGGTGGTAGCCAGGCACCATCTAGTTCCTCTGGTCTCAGGCTGATGGAGTCTCTGGTTTATGTGGCCCTTTCTGTCTCTTGGGCTAATATTTTCCGAGTGTCTTTGGTGTTCTTCATTCTCCTTTGCTCCCAGGTGGTTGGGACCAATTGATGCATCTTAGATGGCCGCTCACTAGCTTTTAAGACCCAAGACGCCACTCACCAAAGTGGGATGCAGAACGTTTTCTTAATAAACTTTCTTATGCCAATTGACCTATTTTGGGTACTTGCTTCCTCTTTACTTACTTAAATAACAGGATGTGTCCGTGTAGTTCGAGGTGAAGGAATGCCACAGTATCGTAATCCCTTTGAAAAGGGTGATCTCTACATAAAGTTTGACGTACAGTTTCCTGAAAACAACTGGATCAACCCCGACAAGCTCTCTGTAAGTGTGCTCTAAATTCAAGCAACAGATGACTGTTTAATAATTGTGTGTCTTTGTCGCCTTGAATTTGTTTTTGGTGCCAAGATCAGATCACACAATTTAAAGTGTTACTTCTTAAATATCTGACTGGTTGATGGGTTGTCCTGGTTACTATTAAGGTGAGGTTGCCAGTGTCAACGCTTGTGAGGACCAGCAGATACCAGTAAGAGTCGCGCGGACGGGGTGTCGTGAGGCTGATGGTGGGAGGACTTGAGCTCCTAGCAGCAGATCCTTCCCCACCTACTGTCAGCTGGGGCTTCCGTGCAGCATGCAGGAAGGCTTGACGGATGTGTGTCATTTATTAGAAATCTTCGAGCGTTTAAACATTGACAGCTAATTCATTTTGTTTTCAATTTTTATTACGGTGAAACACGTACAACAAAACCTTGGCCATGTCAGCCCTTTCTACGTGTACAGTTCAGGGACATTAATTACGTTCCCCACATTGTACGACCATCGCCAGTATCCATCTGCACATTTTCCATCATCTGTAACAAAGTCTGTACCTGTTAAGCACTACTTTGCCGTTTCCTCCTACCACCTGCCCCTGGTAATCACTAGGAAACTTCAGTGCCTGTACGTTGGCCTGCTCTCGATTTTCACGCAAGTGGGATCATACAATACTTGTTCTTTTGTGTCGGGATCATACAATACTTGTTCTTTTGTGTCTGACTTGCAGTGTTGTCAGGTTCATCCCCATTGTAGCGGGATTCAGGACTTCTTTTCTCTTTATGGTTGAGTAATGGTCCATTGGAGCCCTGCTGGTGAAGTGGTTAAGAGCTCAGGCTGCTAACCAAAAGGTTGGCAGTTCGAATCCACTAGCTGCTCCTTGGATGGAAACCCTATGGGGCAGTTCTGCTCTGTCCTGTAGGGTTGCTGTGAGTCGCAGTTGACTCCACGGCACACAGCAGTAGTCCATGGTATGTATGTAGCACATTTTATTCATCCGTTTATCTGCTGATGGACACTTGGGTTGTTTCCTCTTTTGACGATTGTAAGTAATGCTGCAGTGAACATTGGTGTGCAGGTATCTATTTATAGAGTCCATGCTTTCAGTTTCGTTTTGTCTTTTTTTTTTTGTATATACCTAGGAGTGGAATTACTGGGTCGTATAGTAATTCTTTGTTTAACTTTTTGAGGAACCACCACACAGTTTTCCACAGCGGCTGCACCGTTTCACAGTCCCGCCAGCAATGGATGAGAGTTCCAGTTTTGTCACTTCCTCAAACTAGTACTCGTTATTTTTTGTTTTTCTGATAATAACCATCCATACTGGGGGTAAACAATGGTATCGCACAGTGGTTTTGATTTGCGTTTCCCTCGTCATTTCGAGCATTTTTTCCTGTGCTTATTGGCTGTTCGTGTTTCTTCTTTGGTGAAATGTCTATTCAAGTCCTCTGTCCATTTTTAAATTGGGTGGTTTGTGTTTTTGTTGCTGAGTTGTAAGAGTTCTTTATATATTTTGGGTATCAGATGGTTGGTTCCCGAAAATTTCCTCCAGATCTGTAGGTTGTCTGTTCATTCTGTTGATAAAGTCTGTTGATGCATAGAAGTTTTTAATTCTGATGAAGTCCAGTTAATTGATTTTGTCCTTTTTTGCTTGCGTTTGCTTGTTTGGTTTTTGAGCAGTAGGTGGGCTGCATAAGATTTGTTTGCAGATGTGGATTGTGAGCCATCAGTTTGTGGCCTGATTTGAAGTGCAGAGACTAGTCGGTTTCCTATCTTAACTAGCAAAGAAGCATACACCTGGGTGGTGTCAGAAGGGAAGCGGATGAAAATATCCGACAGCTGACCTGATCTTTGTGTTTTAATGAAGGAACTCGAAGACCTTCTGCCGTCTAGACCAGAAGTTCCTAACGTCATTGGAGACACAGAGGAGGTAGAGCTTCAGGAGTTCGATAGCACTCGGGGCTCGGGAGGCGGCCAGAGGCGCGAAGCCTATAATGACAGCTCTGACGAGGAGGGCAGCAGCCACCACGGCCCCGGAGTGCAGTGTGCCCATCAGTAGATGCCGCAGGCAGGTGCGCAGGTGGACTTGCCCTCCGCGGTTGCCCGGTTGATTGTCAGCCATCCAGCTGGAGTGTCTGATCATCCAGATGAACTGATGGACAGCTGCTGGTCTATGTGTAACTTTTAAAATTGGTATAGTATCTACAGAGTGTATAATTTAAACTAACCACAAAGCTTTACATCTTCATTTCGACTGTTCTGTAGCAGAATAAAGCACTTGAAAGGAAACAAGACTCCCTTTCACACCTGGGTTATAAGTTTCAGTCCTGATATCTGTGCTTGATTTTTATCAGTTTTGTGTAGAATTTATGTTTCATATTTTGAAGTCAAATCCCACATTGTAAAGTTTGTGTACAATTTGTCCTGAAGCTTTGTGTTTGGCTGCACCTGCATAAGCTGCTACAAATAGAATAAAGAATTTCATAGCCTGTATCTATCATTTGGATGCATGGAAAACGGGCTTTGCACACAGTGGGTTTGGAGCTGACCGGGAACAATGGAAAGAAATTACTTTAGCTGTGGTTGTAAAGTTTTTTTGTTTTTTGTTTTTTTTTCAAACCATCTTGTGAAAGGTTTCTGGAACTCGATAATAAAAAGCAGTTGGTGTAAATTATTTTTTGTGTCACATTTTTAGAAGGAAGAACAGATTTTGAAATGTCAGATGTCTCCTTAAAAACTGGAGAACGTATCCTTAGTTCTGGTTTGTAAACAGCCATTAGAAACCTGTTGGCCCGAAGCTTAACTCTCAGGTACCTGCCCGGTTTATGGTTTCAACAGGCAGGGAGAGGTGGGTCTGTGGGTGGAAACAGGCTTTGTTGGCTTCAACTGATGCTGTTATGTAACTCCTAAATTATGCTGCCCTTCGGGGCCAAGCTAACCTAGGCCTCTGTCTCCCCCACCACTCCCTTTTTGAAAATAAGGTAACAGCAAATCAATAGTAGAACCATGTCTGCATAAAACCTGTTTAAAATGCTGTGTTCGTTAAATGTTAAGTTAAAGATTCTCTGTCTCCATTAAGTTGAATATTTGAGATTGGGGGAAGCAGTGATTGTTACTAATATTTCAGAGAAGTAAGACTCTTAGGCTGGTATGAGAAAAATCAGGTAAAACGACTGAGAAGAATGTTACGTTTCTCCCTCCACCTTCTGAGTATTACCTTCTTTTCATTCCCAGAGTAGATATTCTTAGAGCACACTTCAGGGAAAAAGAGAAGGCAGTTGCACATTTTACATTTGTAAAGGGACACGTGGGGAAAACTGAAAAACTAAAATTTTAAATTGTATTATGCCATCCTTGAGCCTAAGTATAGGACTTGTAGTTATCTCTACATCTGTTGGAACCTGAATTAAAAGAGATGTCCTGACAAAATGAAGGCCTGTGAGTTTAAATTATTGCCCTATCACTCTACCTCCATCGTACGAAAAACACTTCACAAGCAGCCTGGGCAAGATGGCAGCAGCGGAGTAGTTCTGTCTCCAAGGTTACTTCCCCACAACCGCTATAAACGTGAGATGCAGTGGCAATAGAAAGTTTGTAGCCTTTCCAATAAAGGTTTATAAACAGAGTCGTTCAGTGTAGTCTTTATTTGGAGTCTTCTACCTGCGTTTTTTGACTGTAGCAAAGAACCGTTTGGAAGGGAAGGAGAAACCGGGAACCGGCCTTCCTCTGTGGGTGGTGGATTGCAGCTGGACTGAGTCTCCAAGGTTCCGGCCTCACCCAGGCATCTGAAGGTGGATTCTGTAGAGTTCGCAGGAGGGTTGGGCTATTCAGAAGGCATAGCTGCTCACTTGCCCCCAGCCCTCTGGACTCCCAAGCTCTCCAAGCTTGTTACTGTGGGTAGCAGTGGCATGACAGGACAACTTGGTGACATTGCCATCCCATTCTCTTACCCTCTTGGTCTAGGGATATGCCTTATAGCTGAAGCTCCTTGGGTTCTAGGTTCTCTCTGGCTTGATCCTGTACGTTAGTAGCTGGACACCCAGAATCACCATCCCAGGGAAGAGAGAGAGAAGCAGGGTTGAATCAGCCCCGTGTCTCCTGACAGTCTAAGAGATGTCCGCTGAAATGGCCCCACTATGAGAACATACGCTTCCGATGCTTCATTTCTTGCTGTGGAAGAGATGAGATTCAACCATGGCTGGGTGCTTGCTGTGCTGATAGCTTCAGAGGTGTGAAAGTTGTAGAACTTCAAGGATGGAGAAGCACCACTCTGCTGAGCAGCCCTGCCTTCACTCCTTTCAGAAACCCTCCGATGATAGCTTTGCTGTAAAAGAATTCACCCACAGGTTTCCTTGTCCTTCCTCATACCTCCAGAGACTACAGTTGCTCAACACAGGAATCCTCAAACTATTTAATATTTGGTCAGCAGAACATCGTTAGAATGCCTTTGCCTGTGATTTCCGTCTGGATCTGACCAAGGCATTCCAAAGCATGAGTATATGATGGTTGCTTGACACTCTGCTGCCACTGCTCAGTAGATACTTAGCTAAGACGTGATTCCAGTTAATAAAAACACCAACCCTGGCAAGCAGTGAGGCACATCGGAGGATGAGTAGTCCTAAGACATTATGTCAGTGAAAGTCCAAGAGGTTTGATCTGTAGACAGTCAAGGACCTAGAAGTTGGTGTATGAAATTTGGATGGGCACAAAGGAATCGGCAATGCAAAGAAGTAAAACCTCTGTACACACACTCCCCAGCATGCACGACCCCCTTCTTTTTAAGATCCTGGGTTTGAAGCCCTGTATACTAAGTAGGTCCACAAAGAAAAAGAGCCTCTCTTTGCTCCTTCTGGTAGAGGGGTTCCCAGCCCAGTCGGGTGACTTCATTTCTTTCTGCTTCAGAAGGACAGAAAAGGCAGACTATGCCAGGAGAGTGTGGGGCTTATAGTAAGCCTTTTGTTTTTTGCTCGTCTTCATGCGATCTCTTTGAGTAATTAAACTCTGGTTTTCCTCTAGACCCAGGGGTCAGCAAACTACCGCCAATGGGCCAAATCAAGCTTAAACCAAAAAAAAAACCAAAGCCATTGCTGTCCGAGTCAATTCTGACTCCTAGCGACCCTATAGGACAGAGTAGAACTGCCCCGTAGGGTTTCCAAGGAGCAGCTGGTGGATTCAAACTGCCGACCTTTGGTTAGCAGTCGAGCTCTTAACTACTATGCCACCAGGGCTCCACTCAAGCCTACCACCTGTTTTTGTAAATAAAGTTTTATTGAAACACAGCCATGCCCATTCTTACATATCTTTGGCTATTTTTCTGCTACAGTAGCAGCATTGAGTAGTTGCAACAGAGACTGGTCTGCAAAGCCTAAAATATTTACTATCTGGTGCAGTGGTTAAGCTTTTGGCTGCTAACCAAAGGGTGAGCAGTTCAAACCTACAGTGGGAGAAAGATGTGGCAATCTGCTTCCATAGATTACAGCCTTGAAAACCCTATGGGGCATTTCTACTCTGCCCTATAGCGTCGCTATGAGTCAGAATCACCTCAGTGGGCGGGGTTTGGCCTTTTATAGGAAAAGTTTGCCTACCTCTGTTGTAGGGCACCACTGCCTTCCTGACTCAGTCCTTGTGAATACAAACTACCCTTGTAACTCACCAGCTCGTAAGTTCCTCTTTGGCTTGGGCCTGTTTGAGTTGGGCTTTCGGTCATTTGCTACCAGTTCAATTCTACCTGACACGGGAGGCCCAGCACCGATCTCCCATTCTCCTAAAATGGCTTAACACAGATACCCAGAGCATGGCTCAGGCCCATCTTCAGCCTATGTGGACAGGAACTCTGTTCCTTTGACCAGAAACTGCAACTTATTTTCCATCAACTGGACAGAATATTTGAAGTCAGTTTCCCAGAAAACCCCAGGTGTGTAGTCTATCTGGTGATGCCTCATTAAAAAAAAAATATATATATATATATACACACACATACACGGTGCCGTCAAGTTGCTTCCAACTCATAGCGACCCCATGTACAACAGAACGAAACACTGCCTGTTCCTGCATCATCCTCACAACCCTTGCTGTGTTTGAGCCCTTTGTTGCATCCACTGTGTCAATCCATCTCTTCGAGGGTCTTCCTCTTTTTCACTGACCCTCTACTTGACCAAGCATGATGTCCTTCTCCAGGGACCGGTCCCTCCTGATAACTTGTCCAAAGTACATGAGACGAAGTCTCGCCATCCTCGCTTCTAAGGAGCATTCTGGCGGTACTTCCAAGACAGATTTGTTCGTTCTTTTGGCAGTCCATGGTATATTCAACATTCTTCACCGACGCCATAATTCAAAGGCATCAAATCTTTGGTCTTCCTTATTCAGCGTCCAGCTTTTGCATGCGTATGGGGCGATTGACAATACCGTGGCTTGGGTCAGGCGCACTTAGTCCTCAAGGTGACACCTTTGCTTTTTATCACTTTAAAGAGGTCTTTTGCCACGTACATATATATGTATATATATATATTGCAGCATCTCTGTGTTAGTGAAGGAGCAACAGTGCTGTGGAACAACAGGCTTAGCAAGATGGAACCAGCTTGCTACCTCCACATCTCAGGGTGTGGCCAGTGTCAAAAGCCAACCAACACCATGGAATGAGTTACACACACCAGGCTTGGTACTTAGTGTTTTAAATGTGTTACATCAAACAAAACCCACAACAACCTTGTAAGAGAGAAATTATTGTTGCCCTGGTTTACAGATAAGGAATCCAAATCTCAGAGATACTAAGGAATTTGAGGAAGGTCCCAGAGCCATAAATGATGAAGAGGGGATTCCAGTTCAAGTTCAAAGTCTGAAACACACGCTCTTAAACACAATGCTATACAACCCAGTGAGCAACCCCAGTAGAAGTGGCGCTTCTCTCCACATTTCTAGCCAGTCTTAGATGGGGCTCTCATTGGCCTGGTGTGGGTCGTATGCCATCCTTGAACCAATCCCTAATGTTAGGGTGCATATGGTGCGTTGATTGGCTGGGCCTAGGTCATATGCCCAACCCTGAACCTGACGGGTGGGGCCAGCCTCACCTCAGCCATGTGACCTGAGCAGTGGCAGTGCCAACATTTCCACACAGAAAGAGCTTGGGGCTTGAAGGAGATAGCCCTTTATGTACACTTGTTGAACATCAATTGTCCACTTAAAGAATTGGTGGGGGTGGGATGGGGATGGGACAAGCTGGTCTCTGGGGCCTGAGGAACCCTGAATCAATAATGACAACCTCTGAGTCAAGTGTTGTGTTGTTGTTAGGTGCCATTGAGTCAATTCCGACTCATAGCGACCCTATGGACAACGGAAGAAAACACTGCCCAGTCCTGCACCGTCCTAACGATCATTGTTATGCTTGAGCCCATTGTTGCAGCCACTGTGTCAGTCCATCTCATTGAGAGTCTCCCTCTTTTTTGCTGACCCTCTACTTTACCACGCATGATGTCCTTCTCCAGGGACTGGTTGGTCCCTCCCGACATGTCCAAAGTACGTGAGACTTGGTCTCGCCATCCTTGCTTCTAAGGAGCATTCTCATTTTCCTCCTCTGCAACCTGATGCAAGAGTCTAATCAAGCTCCCAAGGCCAGTCAATGGGGCAGGGTGACCAGAAGCCTGTGTACAAAACAGGAACATACCAGAAGGAACCATC